AGGTCTATAGGATTAGAAGTAGATATAGGTATTAAGATAAGAGAACTATTTCTTACTATATAGAAATCTAGGTAGTTATTCTAAGTAGAGGATAAATTATAAACTTATATCTATATTAATACTAGTTATATAGTAGGAGATTAGGTTACTCTATTATAGTATATATATTAGTTTTTAAGCTTCTAGAGGAAAGTTATAAACTAGTAGTATTTATAGATTAGGGACTTATTATAGAGAAGTATTTTATAGAGTTCTTAGTTAATAACTTATTCTAATAATATAAATAGGGTTTTCTTAGGTATCTCTTCTTTAAGTATAAGATATTAGAATTTAGTAAAGAACTAACTAAATTCCTTATTAGTCTATTGAAATTGGAAGAGTTTATCTTAAGTATTACTTATATAATTAGGATTACTAAAAGTATTTTTAAGGATATTTAGGATTTCTTTATAATTAGATAAGATATAACTTCTATTCTAGATATATAGTAAGATCTAGGTATATAGGATTCCTTTAAGTTAATTTATTATATATAATATTTAGCTTATTAGGGTTAGAAATTAGTTAAGGTTTATAGTTAATTTTTTTTAAATCTAGAATATAAATTAATAGAGGTTCTTATAATCTCTATTAAATATATAGAGATCTAGGAGATATTTAGAAAGAATAGAAAAATAGATAGTATAGGAATTAGATAGTAGAGATATTCTTAATACTAAAACTAGTAGTCTTTTAGTAAATATTTTAGGAACTAGGCTTATATAAAAAATATTTATAGTAAGAGTAGTAGTTATTAGGGTTTAATTATACTTTTAGTAAGTAGATTTTAGTTTATAGGTATATTTTAGAAGGTTTTCTTAAGTTTATATTAGTTTTTCTTCTTAATATTTAAAGATACTATTTTTCTTAGATAGTTTATTATAGATTTATATAAGTTCTTCTTTAATCTAAATAATTTCTTGGATTAGGTAGGTAATCTTTTATTAAGTAGTATAGTATTATTAATAGTGTAGATAGATTAGTTTTCTAACTTTCTTAGGGTATTTATATATTTATTTATAGTATATAAACTAGGTTTTAGGGTTTATATTATAGTATTTAGTATAGGTTTTAAAGTTTTTAGATAAGAATAGTAGTAGGGAAGTCTTTATAGGCTCTAGTAGTTAGTCTATAATTAATAGATAGTCTAACTCCTAATATAGGGGTAGAAGCTATATAGTATTAGGGTATAGTAGGTAGTTATATATTAGGAGCTAGTAAGTTAGTTTATATAATAAGTAGAGGATTAGAAGTAGTTATATTATAGATAGGCTATAAGATAGAAGATTAACTAAGATATAGCTTAAAGAGCTATATCAAATAGGAATAGGAAGTTCTAATAGTCTTAGGGGTCACGTAATAACAGGAATAGGGATCCTCTTGTACGAGGATCCACACCGTGATATATTTTAAATATTTTATTAATAAAAAATAATTAAACTAGACTTAATTCCTTAAAATAATATAATTTATATATAATAATAATATTAATATATTAACTAATAAGATCTCTTTTTATATATTATTTAAGTATAACTTTAATTTCTAAATCTAAACTCCTAATAAAATACTTAAGAAAAAGACTTCTAATATTAAAAAATAAATAAATTACTTCTAGAATATCTATAAAGAGACTATAAATAAACTTTAAATTATATAAGAAATATAATAGAGATCCTATAATAAAAATTATAAGCTAAAAAACTTTAAAATAGGAATCCTTATATCCCTTTTAATAAAGAATCTTTATTTTAAAACTAAAGAAAAGAAACTATTCCTCTATTAAATTAGATCCTTTTATATTCTTATAAAAATTAGTATCTAGATCTATTATATTATATTACTAGAAAAATACTTAAGATTATATAATATCTTCTTTATCTCTTTTCTTAAACTATAGAATAACTAAAATAATAATAACTTATAAATACTAATACTAAAACTTAAAGATAAAAAAAAATAAGAAGTTAAAAAGATTTAAAATAAAAAAGTCTTTAATAAAATATTATATTATTATATAAAATAAATAGAATAGTCTTTAGAATATAATTAATAAGAACTAATAGAATATTTAGAAAATATAAAAGATATAATAGCTTTATTTAAGAAAAACTAAGCTTATAAAATAGTATTCTAATAATATTAAAAACCCTTTGAAACCCCTTTAAATTACTTTTAAATTAATATTAAATAAAAAAAAGCTATACTAGATAAGACTATTTAATTAAAAAAGAAGAGAATAAATAAGATAAAAAATAATAAATTACTATAGAATTCTATATTAAGCTATAAATATCTTAATATTAATAACTATTACTATTATAATTAGAATTAAAATAATCTTAATTAAAGTTATATTATATTAATATCCTACTATAATCTCTATAAAAAAGGATTAAATACTACTCTACTAGAGAGTAAAACTAATATTATTAATCTATAGATATAAAAGATTATTAGAATAGTAAAGAGACTAAGTAAGAGATAAACTAATCTTAATATTTAACTTCTTCTATTATTTAATAATAAATATAGTATATACTCCTATAACTTAGTCTATATTCTATAAATTAAAATAAAGCTTATAACTAGAAAGATAAATAAAGATTATCTTTTAGAAAAATACTAAGAGATAAGTAGATCTCCCTATAGCTATAGCTTTATTTTCTTTATTTTAGATAGATATAGTATTACTAATAACTATTATAATAGTACTACTACTTTAAACTTTATATATCTAATTAAGAATTAACTAAAATTAATATAAATTACTATAAATTCTATAAGATATCTAAGATAAATTAGTACTAAATTAAATATAACTTAAAGAAGAATCTTATCTAAAAACAATTTTTACTATACTCTTTATATAAAGTATAAATAATTAAATTTATATAATCCTAGTTATAATAGATCTTAGAAATAGTATTCTTAGAAGAGTAAAAAGCTATTTTAGTAATATATTTAATATAAAATATAAAGAAAGGATAAGTAATTTAATTATAAAGAGAATATAAGCTAATAGAAGTACTAGTAATACTTCTATTATCTTTATTAATCTTATTATCTCTATTACTATTACTATTATCTCTATCTCTAATCTAATCTTTATCTTTAGTTATATAATAACTACTATAATAAGAAGGATTACTAAAAATACTAGAAGTAATAGCCTTAGATATATTAAAATAAAATAAGATAAAAATAAAGAGTAAGAAGATAAAGAGTTAAGAATTAAAAGTTAAAAAAAAGGAAAAGATAAGAGTTAAAAAGATAAGAGAGAAGCTTTTATCTTAAAGATATTAAAGAATCTATATTACTTTATTTATATCTATATATAAAGATATCTAAGATAGTATTAGTCCTAGAATCTTTATTTAATATAATATTACTAGATATAAATTACCTAATTAAATATAAGTTATATAGATAATTAAGTCAACTATTATTAAAAGGGGAGGATAAATTATTATAGGATTTCTAAATCCCTTTAGATACAATTTAGATACAATTTATAGCTACTCTATAGACGAATCTATTATAATATACCTACTAATATATAACTACCCTAAATCCTAGTAAGCTCTAGTAATATTAAAATATATAAACAATAGCTACGATTCTTATCCTGCAAGAATCAGTTCTATATATTAACTATTCTATTTAATCTCTACTATCTAATATCCTTACCTAGTTATAGGTCTCTAGCCTAATAACTTAGTAACTATTATAAATTTATATATTATTATTTGTACCTATTAAGGGGACAACCCCGATAGGGAGGGATTTAGATATCCTTCCTAGTTCAATATATTTCTGGTGTCGATTAGTCTATATTACAATATACGTCTCTTATCGATTTGAGGACTTTTTCAATATTGTTCTATTAAGTTTGCCTTATTAATTCAAGGGCTTTCTAATATAGTTCCGTTAATACTCTATATAAAAAGAGGAAGATCTATATATATGAAGGGCTACAGTCGAATTAATCCATTTAGGCGGTGTCTGCATACTGTTTATATAGATCTTAAGGATCTATCAACAAAGGGGCGAACCGTCGCGTTAAGGTCATGCTTCGGGGTGGTGAGGCGGCAGATCTTCTGGGTATCATCGGAACGCATGGGTTTCGACGTCTGCACAGGCAGAGCCTGGGCCTTATTGTGGCCTTGGCCCGTTACAAAAAATAGTAATATAGGATCTAAGTATACGCTGAATTATTAATCTATAATAGGAAAGGTAGTAATCTTCTCCTGCTGAGTTCGACACTATATAATTAAAATTACTTCTTCTAGTTAGGATAAGCTAGGAAGATAGTTAAAATCTATTACGCTGTATTCTATTAATAGTACTAATATATATTAATTTAATAAATATCTATAAAAGCTATAAAGAAGCTACAAGAATTTTAAGTCTATTTTCATATTGTGTAAAAGGCTAGCATTCTATCCATACCAAAATCATTCTTAAAAGCTAAGGTTGTATATGCTCGTTTATGACCAAAATGTCTTATAGACTCTGACGTCAGAGGGCCGTAGTGCCGTGTTTCTTCGGTTGAAAGCGACCAGCCCGACCAAAAAGGTATAGGAGGAATCGCACGGGGTTGACATATCACACACAGTACACTTTAGTCCCCTCCCGGGGTATAGCAAAACGGAAAATTTATCTTAGCTGACAATTGTTTGAGCTCAGTAGATCCATCGATGCCCAACAAGCAATGCCACGAATCTAAAGATAAAGGGCGCAGGTGGCATATCCAAAGTCACCATCAGGCGACAGCTGCCAACATCATTGCAGACCGCATAGACTTGATATCGATGATGTCACCTCCTGTCTTCCCTACGTGGATCATTGCATATCGTATCTTGCATTTATTTTTCGGACTCAAGGTTTGATTTCCCATCTACCTTCGTATATACACGTTTCCTCCCTCTATAATTGAGTGCAAAACCATCGCATCCATTATGGCCACCAGCGAAAAGCCCAAAGAGCAGCAAAAGAAGCTCCCCGTACAGGACGATCACTCTGATGGTGAAGACTACTACAGCTCCGACAACTACATCGATGAGGAATATGAGGATGAAGCGCCCCAGACTCAGAATAATATGCAAGTGCTGCAGCAACGGAGGCGTCCTCTTCAACAACAGAAAGACGACGAATACACGGATGAGGATGAATACAGCTCAGAAGAGTACGATGACGAATATTCTGATGATGATGGCCAAGCCATGCAGCCCTTTATCAACCAAGTCTCAGAAGACAAACCTAGCGGTGGCATGGAAATCCTCCATGAGGGGGAGAAATCGATTCTCCATGAGAAGGGTTTGAAGCTGAGGCTGGAATTGAACCTGGACATCGAGATAGAACTGAAGGCCAGTATTCGCGGTGACATAACCCTGGCTCTCTTGTAAGTTTCCTTCTGCCCTAAGGAACGAACCCCTCCCACTCCTCTTACCCACCAAAGATTTCTGCTCAAAAACCGAATAGAAGTTGATCTTGTTTTGTCGACAACAGGGCATGAACAACCATCCTGGCTCCGTTGCCAATTCATGCACAACGAAAAATTTACGTCGTCACAAGCAATCCCTCATCCATGGCTACTTTCGTCTTTTCATAGAGCCATACTTGATTATTTATCAATATCCCTATCTACTTATGAATGTCACAGACCGGAATCTCGTTGAGGTGAATATTTTCCTGTTTTTGATCTGATCGGCATGCAGGGCTAGGAGACACAATTTCAAGGGAAACCGGAGAGTTTCAGTTATCGTTTGTTCAGCGCCACCCACAATGAGGTCAATGGCTGATAGGAACCCCGGGTAAAACACGGTTCAATAACCGGACTAGATCGCATGGCTGCCATGTCCTAGACGACAAATTGGACTCCCTATTCACCACTCGTTTGCTTGTTATTGGCGTGGGCACTGGATGAATGGGTAACTTTCAGGCTTCTTGCGGTTCCACCCAATCATACCATGTGTCATAAACCGGTTTTATTTATTGTGGATGTAATAGATATAAGGGCGGAGAGCCTATTATTATCAATAGCCTAGCAACCTGAACCTCACAAACTCATATTTTCTTGAATCTTTAAACGAAACCTACCAATCCTCAATATGTCTAACGAGAGCAGTACGTCCAAATTCAACACCGTATAGCTAATATCAGTATTCGCTGAAACTATGGTTGGATAGAAGGTCCCCTCAGCGGTGTGACCGATACCGTCGGTAAGACAGTTGGCGGCGTGACCAACACCCTGGGCAGCACGGTCGACGGCCTGGGAAAGACCGCCGGTGGAGCCACTGAAGGCCTCGGGAATACTGCCTCCGGTGCGACAGGTGGCGTCAGCCATACAACCAAGGACGCTGGACAGGCTGTGCAGGGCACCGTCCAGGATGTTGGGGGACAGAAGCAGACTGCGGACAACCCACTTGGTCTCAACAACGCCTCGTGAAGGAGATTGTGATTTTTGATGCCATTAGTGGACGGCTTACAGCTTTATGGATTTGGTTTTTAAAATCGATGGATAATACTTTCGTCTTTATAGTCATGAAATTGATATAACCAGTTCTGAATTTGCGTCTCTATCATTGTTCAGACTAGTATTAACTAGGGCCTTTAACCCATGTTTATCCACATCTCTCTTAACTCTTTGAGTTGACGTGTCTGACTACTTTGTTGGCTTCCTGATCTGGCGCATATTTTATCATCACTATCAAGATCGGCTGCGAGGTAACTAGCGAGCAGGGTTTTCTGGCCTTGGCACTAGCACTACCAGGAAGACCGTTGGGATGGGATTCGAAATTCCGCTAGTGCTCATTTCCCCGGGGTTGACGTGGGGATCCCGCTTTGATTCCCATCCCGTGCCAAGAAAAGTTGGAAGCGATCCCCATTTTTTGGGATTTGGGATGTGTTAATGCTATTTCAGAGCTTATAAAGAAGCGTTAGGAATATCGGGAGAAAAGGCTACCTGAGGTGAAAAAGATTAGTTGGAAGGCAGGCAGAGTGAGATGAGAAGGTCCCGAATGGTCAAAGACATGGAAAAGACAGAGTGTATTGAAAGTGGCAATGATGGCATGCTGTATGGGATGGCCATGTACTTTGGTTCGCTACAAGAGGAGCGATAAGAAAAAGAAATGGTGGAGCTTTTTTGTTTTCTTAATGTTTTTCTTGGCTGACATTGTCTGGTACCAACTCTCCCGATGAATACGGCGCCACCATCTCTGACGCCGGACATCCCAAATGTTCATCTCGCCCGTGGCCTGTCCGATGATATAAAACAGTTGGAACAGATTTGTTGCAAATGAATCATACGTACTTTACAGATGCGCATCGTACTTCGTCTAAAGCTACTCCCACTAACGTTTACACCTCCATTCACGCAAATTGTATCCATCCGACCAGCTCATATTCAGGTCACTTTTTATTTATTCTTTCTTCCTTCCCTCCACAATGGCCGACCAGGAACAAACCCAAACCCTTAGCTCGGACTCCAAGACCTCCCCCAACAAGCCTAAGCGTGCGCCGCGCAAGCTAGGCGAAAACGCCCCCGCCAAGCAGGAACCGAAGCCGTTCACGCCCAAGAAAGACCCCGACTTAAATCAAGAGCCAGAACAAAAACGAAATCGCCAGGAGGAACTGCAAGAAGAAAGGCCAGAGCCCGAGCCTGAACTTGAACTTGAACAGAAACGTAGCCGCAGACGAGGACCCCGCCCCACTCGCTCATACAGTCGGGAATCCGATATCGACTCAATTCACCGCAGTGACATAGATAGCCAACCCCAGCCTCAGCCTCAGCAGCGCCAACGCACCCGGCGTCGTCGCCAGCCACAGCAAGAACTGCAGAAGCAAGAAGGTAGTGGTGGCAACGCACTTTCGGGCCTAGGTGGTGTGGACCAAGCGGGCGAGCTCGTGCAGAATACGGCTGGCAAGGCCGTGAACGGCGTGACTGACAGCGCAGGCAAGGCGGTCGGCGGAGTCCTGGGTGGTGGAAAAAAGGAGGAGGAAAAAGAGGAAAAAGATGAAGGTGGGCGTGACGAGCAGTTGCGTCTTCGGTTGGATATCAATTTGGATATTGAGATTCAACTAAAGGCGAAGATTCATGGTGATTTGACTATAGGTTTACTGTCAGTGAGCCCTTCCCTTCTCTTCAGCCCGCACTTTTGAACCCAAAAAATCACTTGGCCATTCTATTCAATGTTTTGTGACATTTTTACTGACTGGCACTAGTAACTAGGTTCCGGATGAGGCGGCTATGGACTTTTGCATCATATCTTGTTATATTAGTTCCTCTCTCTGATTTGCCTTATCGAATTCACAATTTGGGTGTTGCAAGGAGAACATATCAGCATAAGGCTCTCACAGCATCAAGTATTGTGACAACTGTGGTAGGCTTTATGGCTATAAAGCCTTGTCTCATTGTGATTCAATAGGCTCTTTTATACTTTGCTTTTGGGCAGAAATTTGATCCATTTGTCGGCCCAACTACACCAGCGGAGCAGTAATCAGGCAGCGCAGCTACTTTCTGTTTCATCTACGACCCTTTATGCGCCAGTATCTTTTGTTAGGCAATTTGAGTTGAGCCGTGGTTTTGGCGCTGAAAGGTGTATTATATCAATCCTTGGTTGATTGGAAGTTTCCATTTTAGAAAGTGATCAAGCAGCCAGTATCCAACAGACCGCATTTGGTCAGGCCCGTGGATAAGTAGAGCGATGGTATAGATGGGTTTTAGACCGCCAATGAGCAGTCTTTGAACAAGTAATTACCGGAAAATAGTTAGAGCTCATCGAACCGATGAAAGCGGCTCGTGGCCAACACGCCAGTCTTCAATATTCAGCGTCAACGAGGCATCTGTAACCAGTCGTCCAATGCATCGTAATGTATTGCTCTAAAGTAGAAGCCAGGGCTTGGCTATCCCTCGGTGCCGCTGACTGGTCGGGGGCAAGAGGTGGAAAAAGAGACTAAAATTGAGCTCATCCCTCTCCCTCTTTCTCAGGTGGATATTCTATTCCTCCGGAAACAGCGCAATACTGAAATGTAAAAAAAATACATTTTTTTTGTTTAAATCATTATTTTTTACTTTTATTTTTATATTTATAAAATACCATATGTCCCCATCGCTAGGGAGCCAGTCAGTAGGCCGAAGGTTACGGAGAGTTCGCGACCATGACCATATATTCTGTAAACGAGACGACTCGGGCAACAATTAAAATCTCCGCCCTTTCAAATTTCATTTGAGGATTTAGGTGAACGAAGAGCTAACTCCCAATGAATGGCTGCATCGGGTAGTGATTGGTAGTGTCAGATTGGTTGGCGTTGCCGCCGACGTCACTAGGGCGCTGCAGGTCGACCATATGGCGATCATTTGCTTGAGTTTGGCTAGAATATTCACCAAAATTCGTCATTGATTGTATTAATTCCAAGACGTTCAATTTAAAAAGAAAAATAGAGCCCTTGACAAAGTCTCGACCTCAATGGCCCGGATAGCCTGCTTGGTTCGGCGTGTTGGATCCAAACCAGGCCGTGATAAAGTAGATTTTGGCTACATTAGACGGTTGACGCTTGTCATACGACCTGGACAGCATACGGTGACAATTTTTTGGTGTCACTATGATGCAAGACAATGGACCTTGCTATTGCAAACAAGATTTATCACAGCACCAACTCATCATAAAGTATCAATGCCAGAATAACAACTTAGAAATCTTTACTACCAAATATCCCAAAAGCTCAATTCTCATGTGCCTATTTTTGTGGAACTAAACACTGAGTACAACCAAAATCCAAACGGTGAAAAGCAAATCTCCCCCTTACGTCGGGTCGAAATGAGTCTCACTTCCAAGAAAAAATCTGGTCCGCGCAAGCTCCAAACCAAACAATTCGAGCCCGTCTCGGATGGCAGGGAAGGAAAAGCCGTGCCTGCAACCCCGTCTTCAAAGTCTATGAAGAAGTCGCCTGGTGCCTCTGAGCAGCGCCGTCCTATCTCCTCACCCAATGACGATGTCTCTCAAGCTTCTGGCTCCGCGGCCCCACTCGGGCGCGCCGCGTCCGAGCGGTCCGATAAGGTTTGGAGCCAATCGTGCCAAGCGAAGGACATAGCGCGGAAGGGCGAGAACACTCTTTCGAGCAGCGTGCCGCCCGATGTTTCTACGCTTAAGGGTCTCCAGGTCGCCAAGGGTGGCCAAATCTGCGATAGTAACGGCAACCCAATGGGAAAGGTGGTGGAGGGAGACTCGGAGGACTTGGTTGGCCAGACTGTCGGGGACAATGGCGAGATTTTCGATGAGGATGGCGAGTTGATCGGCCGCGTTGATGTATTGGATGAGACTGTTGATCAACCTATGGAGTTACCTGGGGAGGAACAGTCGAAGCTGGACCAGGCCAAGGACGTGGTAAACACTCTGGAAGGACTTGATGGGCTTCCTGTCTCCGAGGGTGGCATGATTAAGAATTCTTCTGGCCTGGCAGTGGGCAAGGTCGTCGAGGGAGATCCGGAGGATCTCGTCGGATATACTGTCAATGGTGAGGGAGGGATTGTCGATGACGAAGGCGACGACATAGGCCGCGCGGAGCTGATCCCCGTGGAGGAACAGTCGAAGCTGGACCAGGCCAAGGACGTGGTAAACACCCTGGAAGGACTTGATGGGCTTCCTGTCTCTGAGGGTGGCATGATTAAGAATTCTTCTGGCCTGGCGGTGGGCAAGGTCGTCGAGGGAGATCCGGAGGATCTCGTCGGATATACTGTCAATGGTGAGGGAGGGATTGTCGATGACGAAGGCGACGACATAGGCCGCGCGGAGCTGATCCCCGTGGAGGAGCAGCAGCAGCAGCAACAGAAGAGTGCCGAAGAGACTGCTGACGACGCCAGCGAGGAGGATAATAAAACGATCCCGTCAATCGAGTCTCTCGAAGGTTTGAAGTGCAATAAGCGCGGCTACATCATGGATGAAGCTACCGGCAAGCCTGTGGGAGAAATAATTGAAGGTGATCCTAAGAAGCTCTCGAAACTTGGCGCCGAACTTGACACCATGGGCCAGTTTTGGGATAACCGCGGCAATGTGATCGGCAAGGCTCAGCCAATACCTGTCTATAATGATGAAGAGGGAGGGCCATTTGCGGGCCTAGATGGCCTGGTCGTAGGCGAGGATGGATGGGTTGAAGACGAGAACCAGACAAGGGTCGGGCGGCTCATTGAAGGCGACGCGAAGAAGCTGGTCAACCGAGCAGTGGATGAGGACGGTGAAGTACTCGACCGGTATGGCAACGTCATCGCGCGTGCAGAACGCTGGGAGGAAGCTGAAGCGCCGGAGGAAGAGCCTATTGACCTTTCCAGTATGGAAGGGCTGAGCTGCAACAAGGCTGGGTATGTCATCGGGCCGGAGGGCTCTCCGATCGGTCGTATTATTGATGGCAACCCTAAGGAGCTGGCGGGAAAAAAGATATTCGAGGGCGGCGAGATTTACGAAGGCAAAAATATAGTCGGTCGCGCCGAGCTTATTCCTGAGGACGAGCGCGAAGATATTCCCGACGGACCGTTCGCCGGCTTCGAGAGCTTGGTCGTTACTAAGGACGGGTTTATCGAGGACGAGAACGGCGATATCGTAGGTCAACTCATCGAAGGGGATGCCAAAAAATTGCGTGGCCATGCGGTCGACGAGGATGGCGAGATTACAGACAAATATGGCAATGTCAAGGGCCGTGGTGAGCCTTACGAGCCGCCCGAGGAAGAACCTCCTGCCGAAGAGGACCTGTCTATTCTTGAGGGTAAAGTTGTGAACAAGCAGGGCAATATCGTAGACCCAGCCACAGGTGATGTCTTTGGGCGGGTCATTGAAGGCGATAAACGTCTTACTGGCTGTAAGGTCGACGGCCAGGGTCAAATCTGGGGTGACAACGGCAAGGTAGTTGGCCGGGCGGGGCTGATACCCGACGCAGAGCAGGAAGAAAAGGAGGGACAGTTCTACAGCTTTAACAACGCCGAGGTCGGCAAGGACGGTGTAGTTGTGGACACAGGCCGGGTTATCGGCCGCCTTATCGAAGGCGATGCAAAGTATCTTTACGGCCGTAAGGTCGATGAGGATGGCGATGTCGTTGATAAGAATGGAAATACCATCGGCAAGGCCGAACGCTGGGAGCCGGAAGATAAGCAGCGCGACGTCAACCCTATGTCTGGCCGAAAGATCACCAAGGAGGGTGAGGTGCGCGATGCCGATGGCAACCTTATTGGCAAGCTGACTTCCGGTAACCTGGCAACGTTGGTTGGCAAGACCGTCAACGACAACGGCTATGTCGTTGACAACGATGACAACAAAATTGGCGAGTGTACCTTACTGGAGAATATTCCGGAGCCTGAGCCTGAAGAAGAGGGTCCCACCGCGGAAGAGTTAGAGGCTCAGGCTAAGACCGAGGAAGACCGCCAGATAGCTGAGAAGATGATCAACATCCTCAGCCAGACCCTCGACCGAGTCAAGCCTGTTTGCCAACAGATCACTGAGGCGAGTTGAAGTTCCCCCCCTTATATTTCAGCTTTCTATTTCCTAGTAATAACAATTCAACAGCAAATCGAAAAGGCCGAGCGCACACCCAAGGAGGAACTCGACGAAGAGAAGCTCGTCCAAGCCGTCAAACCCCTTCTGGAGGAAGGCGGCCGCATCCTCCAAGAATGCAACGGCTCCATCCGCGCCCTCGACCCCGATGGCCGCATCGCGGCCACCGCTAAGGCGCGCGCCTCCTCGCGTGATGCTACCCCGGAGGAGTACCAGCTTGCCGATCTACTCAAGGAGCTGTCCGAGACGGTCACCAAGACGATCGATAACGGCCGCAAACGCATAGCTGACATGCCTCACGCCAAGAAAAAGCTGAATCCGCTCTGGGCCCTCCTCTCTGAGCCACTCTTTCAAATAATTGCCGCCGTGGGCTTGCTGCTGAGCGGTGTTCTGGGTTTGGTCGGAAAACTGCTCGGTGGTCTCGGGCTGGGCGGTTTGTTGGATGGCCTTCTTGGTGGATTGGGACTTGACAAGTTGTTCGAAGGTCTAGGGTTAGGGGGAAAGGGTAAATAAGATTAGGGGATTGTGATAATGATATTTTCTTTTATTGGCAAGTATCTTTGATTTTACGGCTTGTGTTGGCTAACTTCATGTTGGGTTTGAGCTGGCCCGTGATGCTTCAGTTTTTTAATTCATCTTATTATATCAGTATGTGTTTGTTCATTGTAGAAATTTTGTAAGATGCTGATTGGGTCTTGAAATTCTTTCTTGTTTCTAGTTTGCTAGTCTAATGAATTCATTGGTTCCTTAACTTACCCCATTAACATTTGATGGCGCCACTTTCTGGTATTAGCCAAGGAATAGGATAAATCTGTAGAAGTAGAGGGGTGTGGAATTTTTGTATTCCCTTCAAAGCACTTTAGAACAATTGTCATTGAGAGGGTTGTCATTGTGACTAAAACTTGGACCACATGTTGAGTGACTTAGAGAAGACGAACTAGGCAGGGAGGAAAGTTAGGATTGGCTATGAAAAAGCAACTCTCGGTCTGGTCAATACCCTTCCCTGTATCGCAAGACAAGCTAAGTATTTTCATTTTTAGAAAATTGCTATTCTGATTATTTTTCTTTATGTCTCCTGGAAGGTACCGTCAATCGCTTAAGCTTGAATGGTAATAGCAATAGTTCTCGCGGATGGGTGCCAGTGCTTGAACTCCTATGATCTATTTGTCTCATCAATTACTTTGCAGTGGACTGAAAGATCTGAGAACTCCTAGGGAGGTCTATTAGGCTCTATTTAGTTAGCAGAAAGAGCGATAGTCTAGGAATCAAGTTCAAGGAATCAAGTTCAAGGAATCAAGTGAAAAATCAGAATAAGACACTAAACTAAATTTACAAGCTATTGAATTTGGTTTCCAAAGATACTGCTAGATAGTGTAGAACTAAAATTGAGGGCTGTATATTTCTGAAACTATATAGAGATGCTATTGTGGGCGCGAGACTCGACGAGTTAGTGGTATAGCCCGCTCGAGGCTTAGAGTAGTCTTCCGTAACAATAATATCACAGTAAAACTCCAACAACTATTACTTAATATAGTAGCCAATGCATCCAAAATACAATTTCAAACTACAATTAGGAGGTAGTTTCTGCAATAATATGCTTCAATACTTCATCTGTGGCTTATTTCTGCCTAAAATTGAGTAATTCACAGTGATTAGCAGGTGAGATCAAGTGTCAACAGTTGAGGTGATTATTCACTCACTTTTAAGAGGCGGTCGAACTCAGGCCCGGACGTTCATAGATAGCAATGACAGTAGCCTTAGTATGGCTTTTGCCGATCTATAAAAGGCCCTCTAGCACTATGTCTCGTCCATTCTATTATAATGACTAAAATGGATCAACCCACTTCGCCTTCCCCAAATGACCGTCCAGCTAGGAGATGTCACTTAAGCTAGGGAAGGGAGATACTAATAGATTAGTAGTTTTGGTAGATCTGGCCCTCACCTGCGGGTAACCCTCCGGACCCTCCACCTAACCTACCCTATAGGTAGGTAAGTAACTAAGTTATTGACCCTAAGGGTCGTTTACCTAGATATCTAATCCTTAAAAGGATTACCTATAGGTAAACCTTAGGATCCCTAAATAAGATAAATAGGTAGAAAACGTAACTTACTTATAATATATAAATTATATTAATTTAGAGAGGATTTCTATATATTTATTTATAACTTTTAATATAGTAGAAAAGTAAAGGATTAAGAATTAAAAGATAAAATCATAAGAAAATTATATTCTTTATTATATAAATAATAATATAGAATATATAAAATTAAATAGTATAGTAATTATTAAGATCTAAGTATATAGTCCTTAAGTAGCTTTAAGTATTTATACTTTCTACTAGATATATACTACTAAATATTAGATAAAGAAGGATTTAGATTATTATTATTATTATATTTATTATATTTATTATAATCTATAGCCTCTTTATCTTTAAGATTAAGTATTATTATATAAGACTATAGAAGGAACTATATATTTAGAGACTATATATTCTCTATCTTATATACTATATTCTTTATCTCTTTTTTAATATTATTAATTAGATTAAATAATTTATCCTATATTTTATTAGCCTCTATTATAGCTATAATCTCTTAGTATAAGAGATACTCCTATAGTATAAGCTATTTCTACTTTTAGAGATTAAATCTCATTATATATATCTAAAATATAATATCTTAGATAGACTTTAGCTTTAAAGACTCTTATTAATAATAGTAGATATTCTAAGTAGAGTTAAAGAGATACTTCTATTCTAATTACTAAGATTAATATAATATCCTAGATAAGACTTATAAATATAAGTTTCTTATATTTATAGTCTTACTAAAAGACCTAAAGAGAGCCTTATATAGTTATTAAAAAAAAGAGTTAGTATTATATAGTAAAAAGAGAAATATAGTAAAAAGAGAAAAGAGTATATATAATTTTTAAGATATCTTATAAGCTTATTCTATTATAGAGGTAGTAATATATATAAGTTTTTAAATAGTAGATTAGTATTTATTATTATTATTATTAATAATATTATATCTAATTATAGCCTTTCTTCCGGATATTTCTTCTTATATAAGATAAAAAGAGACTTAAGACTACTATAATAAATCCTTTTATAGTCCTTCTCTAGATTATTAGACTTTTAATCCTTAGTTAAGAAGAACTAGAGCTTTTTTATTAGTATTAGGATTATACTAATTATATAAAGATTACCTTTTATTCTATTTATTATAGTATAGTATTTTAATAGTTTCTTTTATATAGTCTTAAGTAAAGAAAATATTAACTACTTCTAAAATATCTTCTTTTATTAAAATTAATAGATTAAATTATTAAGATAATTAAAAAGCTTATTATAGAAACTAAAGACTAAATAAATACTTATATCTTTAGTTATATAAATAATAATTATATATTTAAAGAAAGGCTATAGAATAAATAGTAGATAATTAATTTATTACTACTCCTTAATATTTAATATAAAATAAGCCTAATTATATTATAAATAGAATATATTAAATATTACTTAAAGTCTCTTAGCCTAATAAAGTATAAGATATATTAAATTTTATTATATTTATATATCCTAGATAAGTATAAGCTTTAGTTTATTAGATTAAAGATTATAGAAAGTATTATAATATTAAGGATTTATATTAATATATATAATAAGACTATAAACCTTAAAAATATAGATATAGATATAGTTATTATATAACTAGAAAATAAAAGAACTAACCTTATTTAGTATATTAGTAATCTCTTACTTCTACTATTAACTATATAGAGCTTATATATTATTCTCTTTCTACTTAAGCTCTATAATATTATTCTTTAGTAAAGCTTTTATCTTCTTAAATAAATTATTTAGACTAAGTTAAATTATATATATAATATAAAGGACTTAGATAATTATAGATTTACTATTAAGTTTTAAAGCTTATATTATATTATTAATAATAACTATAAGTATAGTATTATTAAATATATTATCTATTATAATTATAAGTACTTAATTAAGGATTTAATATTATTATAGAATCTATATAATAATCTTATTAAGATTAATCCCTAAATATATATTAGAAAATAACTTAAATCTAAGAAGAACTTTATAATAGTCCTAGTTTTAATTAAGAAAATATACTATTATTGCTATAAATACTTACTAGAATAATAATATCTAATAGTTAAATACTAGAAATAGCTTTATATCTAATAGTAGGTTTTAGAAAGTAATTATTTAGTTTTTAGTAATAAATTTATAAAGCCTTATATAGATTATCTTCCTAGAAGGAATAATTAATATATAGAGACTAATTATATATATAAAATAAGATTATAGAACTCTTAATACTTAAGGAATAGGAAAGGTAAATATAATGTTATAACTAGATTTAAAAGCTTCTATTCCTAAGTACTCTATATAAATACTTAGATAAATATTCTTTAATCCTAATAGACTATCTATTAGTTAATTCTAAATAAAGAGATATTTTAGTTATATATATAACTTATATAAATAGTTTTTAGATATTTAATTTATTTATCTTTTATTAGTATTATAGCCCTTTAAGATATTTATTTATTAATAAAATACTAGAATATATTAATACTAAATATTTAAGAACTATATAATATTATTTATATATTATATCTAGCTTTCTATCTTTTATATTAGTTACTTAATTAAAACTTTTCTAATAGGTTATATAATATTTTCTATGCTAATTAATTTATTTTTTCTTTCTATAGTTAGTTTAAAACTATTACTCTATAAATTCCTTACTTATATTTACTTTATATAATAAATATTTATTAATCTAGTTAGATTTAATCTATTAAAGATTTTCTAGTATCTAGAGTACTAATAGTTAAAGAATAAAAGAATTATTAAATATTATATTAAATAAAGATTAATTAAATAGAAATAAACTTAAGAAAATAGTATTATTTAATATAAAATATAAAAGATCTTTTAATTTAATCCTTTTAACTATTAAAGAGGAATATCTATCTAAAAGTTAAGATATACTTTATAGATAGTTTATATAATTACTAAGAAAAAGGACTTATAAAAAATAAATAAAAAAAAGCTATTATATAGAAGAAATTAGTTTATTTTAGTTATAAGAGAATATAAAGTTAATAGATTATCTTCTTATTTATTTATATTAAGATTACCTTATTGAATTAGTTAATATAAAGAGTATATATAGATAAAAAGGATTATTCTAAAGATTAATAAAAATTACTCTAAGAGTTACTAAAGATTACTCTTATTAATCTTTTAATTATATTATCTTTTTTTCTAATAGAAAATATTAAAGTCTAATAATCTAGATTTTTAATCTTCTTTTATATAAGATCTAAAGTAATTAGAGATAAACTAAATTAATAGAAAATAAAATAAGACTTTATTTAGTTAATTACCTAAAATAACTTTATATTTAATATTTATTTAATATTATAAATAAAAAGATATATTTCTTATTATATAAGTATACTACTA